TACTCAATTCATTCGAACAGTAGCGTCAACAAATATGTAAATAAGGATTGCAATTCCGCACTATTTTGAATGCGGTAGTAACTCGACTTTTATTGAGGACAAATAATAAATGAATGAATAATGATATAATTGGTCGGTAGCCGGGCGGTTCGACGTGGGTGCTTTATTCACTCAGTCAATCGGCTGATGTGTGAGTCGATGGTTCAAGCCGCAGGCTGAACGCTCGATTTTTACTTGCTATCGTCCAACCCGTGTTAGAAATCACACGATAAATAGTAAAACCTCGTTAGTCCTTAGCTCGCAAGGTCCGATTTCTGAGGGTTGTCGTTCGTAGGGGTGCGATCCATTATAGTGAATCATATAATCAAATCATGGTTGACTGCTTCCTTATCGAATAGATTACATAAATATAAGAGGTTATATGATTTCGCACATCAAATTGATTTGTTATGTATTGAGTATATATTTTGAACTGTATTGATAACATATTGTGCGGAGTGAGCCATATTGGACACTTTTAAAGGAAAACTGTTTTCAAACTAGATAGATGAAAACTGATGGGTGTGTCTGAGGGTCAAGTTTTATGACAAACCTATACACGAGAGGCATCCAGAAAAAAGGCAAACTTCTAGAGACATTTTCACAAGATTACTACACAACCAATTTGAATAAAATTTATATGAATCAAATAGGGATAAGGAGTTGAAAGAAATAGTTGTTAAATCTAGATACGAAATGGAAGCGGCAGTGATGCAGAGTTTTGCTTCTCTCATTCCTATTAGCAGGGGAGCCCACGATGTAAAATGGGGATTTACTCGAGCGTCACTGAGACATATTAGGTTGCAAAGCTTAGATGATATAAATGAAAAAAATAACGTATTCCAAAAACACTTTATTGTGAGATTTTCACTAAATTGTTTTACAAAAACGCAACACGTGTTTCGCCATACAATGGCTTCATCTGGCGTGTCTTTCAATTTAGTGAAAATCTCACAATAAAGTGTTTTTGGAATACGTTAGTTATAGATTTTCATCAAGTATCGGCCGATTCCATCATATATAATGAACAAAATGTTATATATTATATACCTTTTCATCGGTGGGGGAAGCGGCATCAATGTCCTACTAATTTTAATAATGTTGGTATGTTAATGTGATCGTTTGCGTGATGTGGGTGGTTGTACGTAAGGGTTAAAAGTGAAAAAAAAATTCAATCGAGCGCATCAGATTTTCCAAGGGGGTGTTAAGTGCAACAAAAAAAGCTCCCATTCAATAATCTGACGATTTCGATCTGACGCAAACTCGCGGCCATTATTATAATGT